CTGTTTGTTTTCTCACATCTCCCAAAGAAGTTTATGAAGCCGGGGCTAGGATTAATCTTTGTTTGAGACAAAGTGATCTTTATAATTTACATAGTTGTTGTTGTTTTTTATCTTAAAAAAATGCCCACCACAGAATCCACTAAACCTTCTTGCTTTTGCTCTCAAATCCTTGCATCTATTAGGGGAACACTTGTGTATCTTGCATATACCTATATACATTTAGATGGTAAACATCAAAAGAAATCCCATAGCTTGCAACCATGTTTGCTGTTGTATAACATAGAAGCAGAAAGTCTCAAAGATTCTGCTCCAGGAGTGGTCGTGGCTTTGCTGGGGTTTCAACTGTTTTCACACAGTATAGGAAATCCTTACCAAACACCTTCTGGGCAAAGAAGGTCCATGTCTTCTGTAAGGAGACTGGCCAGAAAGGTGTTTCTGTTTCAGCAATATTGTACCCTAGCAAACGGTCTTCTAAAAAGTGAGGTCTTCTAAAAATTGAGGTCTGATCCTTTCGGCAAAGTCTTCCCCCATTTGTTAATGGAAATTAGAGTCAATGAAGTTGTGGTATAATATTTACAGGGTAGGAAAACCCACCTTATTCAAATGTGTTCTGTCTTTCTGGATAGAGTCAGAGTTTTGACATGGATAAATATTGCACAGTTTGGGCACTAATCTGAAGCTTTACCTGAATTACTTGATCTTTCTGAGTCTATAAAAATTAAGTTGGAAACCTTGAGAGCAGTTTGTAACCTTGGTGCTTCGAAGGTTTGCTGTAAATACAACGGGAACAGTGTTCTGCTGTGGTGTTTCAACACTTCTCTTTTCAGTTCTGTTGGGGAAGGTGACAAGCAAAAAAGAATTGTATAAATGTTTAAAAGTGTTTTGAAATATATAGTACAGGCTTGGTTCTTCGCATGATAAAAACCTGTTTTGGATTCAGTGTGAGAATAGCTTAACTTCTGCCCCCCAAAATCCCGTTTTTCATACATGTATCACCTGGGGAATGTTACTTACAAACTTCAGTTTGCAAAAGTTAATTAAGACTTCAGTGTCATAATATCATCACAAGGCCTCCTGCTATCATGTTTTTGCAAAGTTTATAGCATTAATGAGGTATAAAAGCAGATTAACTACTAATCCAAGGTATATGCCGAATTGCCCCCTTAAAGTAATGAGCTCAAACAATCAAGCGCCTCATTAATTTCAAAACTACTTCAGAAATATATTTTGACCAATTCGGAAGCCAGACACCTTGCACAGAATTAATCTTGGGCAAACTTAAAACTCTATAAGAATAATGTATATTATAAATACTTTTTTTTTCCCTCACTCTTCCTAACCAGGAACAGAAAAACACATGGTTGTTTTTTGTAGAGACAAGCAGTTTAGGATTTTGGCCAGTAAAAGCAGAGCAGGACTTCTGTCCTTTGTGGAAGAAAAATGACAATTCAAAAGGGAATGTAGATTGTAAGCATTGGTTTCTGAAGAACACAGGCAGCTGATGAATTTTGTACAGAAGTGTGTGCTTGGTAAAACAAGAACCTCTTTGAAGTTCTTTTTTTATTGCTGCAATTTGAGAAACTGGGGTAGCTCAGACTGCGTCACTTACTGATACCTTTGTATATGACCCAGACAATACAATTTTAAGAGACTTTTACAGATTAGGGACTTTTTTTTTAACTTGCAAAATGTGGGTCACTACTAAATGTCTGGTACATTCACACAGTTTAAAAATATACGCTGAGTTCAGTTTTTCAGTTTAGATTTGTGGTTCATCTTTCTTTTTGGAGCGCTTGAGCGTCACTGCAGCTACAGCACTGCATCTTGTGATGGCCCTTGACTAGCTTCTAGTCTAGGGCATTTGCATATTAATGCCAAAATATGATGAGTGGTGTTTGAAATCTGGGGTAGTGATCCTACCAAACTACATAAAAGAAGGGTTCAACTCAAGTCCAATCACCAATGGCTACGTAATTAAAAACCCAACTGGACACAAAAGCCTGCTGTAGTACAGCGTGCATGTTTGTGGTTCAGCCCTTAGGAGGAGACAAAATGCTTGGCTTTCAGTTTTATTGAAATGAGGTAATTTCCGCCTGGCCCCATAAGACGATGTGTTCATTGTGGGGGGCGTTATTTCACGTGTATGAATTGGGAGGGAACCTGGGAAGGAGGGCAAAGAAGTATGAATACAAGTAGTGCATGTTTTCACAATACGTCCTTGTTTTCCCCTCACAGTGACTTCCTGGGCATTTTATTCCTTGGGTCACAATGCATTTGATTTTTAGCAGTGAGCGAAAGTTATGCTGGTTTCTTACATGTATGCACAAGCAAATTCTGTTTGGTGGTTTGCCACTTCCTCTCAAGGTGGCAAACAAGCTTCTTATTCCCGAGCAAGCTCTTTCAGTGCTGGATAAAAAATGTAATGTATGGGAAATTAGTTCAACTGAAAAGTGAAGTTCTGCCAAGGGGAAAATTTTCACACTGAAAATCTGTCACAAAATATGAGTTATTGCGATGGGTGAATTTACAAATTGCTGTCAAACCGGTGCTGAATTATGTTAACATGGCTGTTTAGGGCAGTGCACATTTAATTATTAACTGTGATGATAACAATGCCATTATTTCTTCTGGGTCTATATTTTTTTATTTAGTGTGCTTCTGCTATTGGGATTTTCAGGCAGCTATGTCAATACAAAGCCTTCTCCTTTGAATGTGGAGCTGAAGAAGTTTGTCTATGTCAGATTCACCAGGAGACCATGCTACTACTACTGCTACAAACAGTAAACAAACATGTAAACCAGTATCAGTTTCTTGTCAGTAAAACATTACAGAGCGATGTATGACGAATAGTTAAAGTAACTTTAATGCCCTTCAAAACACATCTGTCTGCGGGATCGAACGATACTAGTGTTGCGTTGAATTTCAGGAGGAGAGCACCTAGGTGAAAGCTTGGACTGAATTTCTTTCAATGAAATACACTGAGAATTCAGTGCAATTCAATGCCATTAACTTCAGACCATGGATATGGGGTGGAGGGCACGTTATCTTCTGGAAGTGCCATGGGATCACCAAGATTTTGAATTGCAGTTTTACCTCTCACCTGTGGGATAGCCCTGCCAGGCTCACATTGACAGTTTGGAGTTTTGATTTTTTTCAGCGTGACCAACGAACACCAATGCCAATACCATCCTTTTACTCTCTTCCCTGTCACGCCTGATTTTCTTAGGTGACGGAATTTCAGATAATGTATAAAATGATAGATTTTTTTCAGTATCACAGTCCGTGGAGCTTGACCTATGTGCTGTGGTAGTTCAGACTCTTGGTAGTAAGTTCCCTGTATTTGCGCTTTAAATACAAACCGCAATTTCTCATCGCTCTTTCTGACCCTGGAGCGGTGGAAACAATCTGTTCTCGCTGAGAAACACTGAAGCTATGTGGAACTGGAGCAAATATAAATATGGATTTATGTTATAAATCTGTGGAAAATTTTGAGAGAAAATTATTTTTGAGGACAGTCAAGTTTGTTAGATGACCAGAATGCCGGCATTTCTGAATCAACAAAAGGACAATGCTTTGGAAAAGAGGGTACATGTTTCAATGATGACTGGAAAGCAACAGTTAGAAATTAAAAACTATGCATACTAATCAGGAAATGGAAAAACTAGGTAGACTATATTAGAATTGGTATAAACCCAATAAGGAATTTAAGACCTTCAGGGGCAAATCTATGGTTAGAAAAGCTATAGGACTCTGTAGAGTTGAAGGGCGTCTCTAAGGTGATGAGTAGAGTACTGAGATCTCTACCCCAGGGTAGATCAGGTCCACTGCAGTGTCTGGCTGCTGAGCGCTTCTGGCCCGTGGCTGGTGTGTGTGGAGCCACCTGCAATGTTATTCACCAGAGTGCATACATGTCCCTCGATGGCACGGTCCAGGCCAGAGCAATGACTCGGTAGAGATGATGTTATCATTGCTAATGACAGGATTGCTTATAAGAAGTAGTATTCTGTCCTTAGAACGTGCAAGTTAGTGTGGCAATACAGGAGAAATGGAGAAAGCAAGCAACAGTACTGTGGGACATCTTAGGAGAGGTACCTCTTGTTGTAGCACTGAGTAATTTCCTTCTGTTGACATAAATTTGTACAAAATGTCTGTTGAATAAGTCTTCTCCTTTGTAACTGAATGAAGAGCCTGTGGTAAATAAACAGTTTTATTGATTCAGCGCCCAAACTGGTAAGTCTAAAGGCAGGAAATTTGGGATTGAACTGACATTTTCAAAAAAATTTTAAAAATTCTCCTTTTTCCTGTACATTTTATTCTGAGTTCCTCTAATTTTTTTTTCTATTCAAAGTGCTAATTAGTTTATATATCTTTTGAAAACCATTCAAAATTAACCTAAATACAAAGAAGTTTAAAACATATATCTTTTTTCTTTTTGAAATTACTAAACTGAAATATTATCGACCCCTTCAAAGTTTTCGTGTCTGGTTTTGGCTGAAGGCATTAGTGGAATTTATCCAAGTTACAAAGATGCTGTGTATAGCTACCATGTCGGGAAGGGCTGACAGGGCTCTTGGAGGTCTAAACAGGTGAAGCCAGAGTAGATGCACTTACTTCTGAGTATTACTCTAGTGAGACAATAGTATAATGTTACATACAGAGCTGATGTAGACATGTTTAAAATGGTCCTGAAAAACTGGTGAGGTTGTGCAAAGTGCCAGAAAGATTATTCATGAAGTGTACAGGTCATGCATAATGTGGAAGCTGTTTTAAAAATGATGTCTGCACTAAAAATCATATGTAAACAGTATTTTGCTTTGTCTTCTGCCATGGACTGCCTTGAAATGCTCAGACTCCCCATGCTGCAAACGTGGGCTTTTCACTCCATTAACAGGATTTGGTGCATGTATTTCATCGGTGGCTCTGGTGACTGAAGTAGCTTGCTCATTAACTGCTGGACAGCTCATTAATTTTTCAATGAACTTTTTTTCCTTGCTTTCTAGGTTTATGATGAATGTGACTTGGGAAGGTAAAGATTTGTCCTTCACAGCAGATGGTTATCAGGCACACCCCAGGCTGGTGGTGATAGTACTGAACAACGATCGTGAATGGGAAAAGGTGAGCATTACCTCTGGGTGAAAGATGTGAGAGGAGATAGGAGAGACTTGGTAGAACCCTATTAATGACAAGTAGACAGATTAACGTCATGGATGTCAATGATGATATTCTGCTGTAGCAGGTTTGTCACAACAGTTCAGAAAAGATAATTTTACCTTATTCTGAGGAGGTCTAAGGAGTTTTAGCAGGGAAAGCAACATATCGGTGAAGATAAGCCGATTTCGGAAGATTTCTGTGAAACACACCTTGCATTTCTTCTTGCAATTTAGTCAAATAAAATGGATGACTGAAAAATCTCCAGAAACTTGGGCCTTAACTACCTAAATTTGGATGGGTTTGTATATCTCTACAACTCCGGTCCTTTTATTTGCTTGGTTTTGTATTCTTTGACAGATTTTAGAGTAAAAGTACACTGTTTTAGTTTTTTTTTAACTGTGTAATTCCTGTTGATTTGGAGGATAATCCCTATAATGTTTGCCTAAGAAATTCAGAATCTTGACTTATGTTCTCCTGGTAGGCAAGTGATCTCCCTAAACCTCTATATAGACTAGAAGGAAAAGTGTCTTAATATCAGTGTTAATCATATATGTGAGGAATAAAAGAAAAAAGTTTATCATGAGTGTTTTTTCTTTAAAACTCCCACCTCAGCCTGTGACTGTTTTGGCTCTGAGTTTTCCAGGTTATCTGTGGTCCCATGTTTTAAAAACAGGGGACCTTAGAAACTGTTTGCAATATGAGACTGTAGGAAAAAATACATCTGTATCATGCACCAGTTTTATTTTAAATTCATAAAACATGATCCTGCATTATATAAATTGTTGCTGAAATCTATGAAGTCTTTTTCTTATAGTTTTAGGATCCCATAGAATCAACTTAAAACTCCAGTTTGTAAGACTGCAAGACTCTTCATGGTGTTGGATAATAATGACAAAATAAGAATTACTGAAGGACATCTCAGTAAATATGCTAGTCATGCAAAAACACAGAGAGCAGTCCTGGATTATGCTATGTATTTCTTTATGTTCCTTTGATGCAAATTTAATTCTCTGGATAAATTTAGTCCTATCCAAATGTGTCAATCTGAATCTTTGGAGGAATCTTTTGCTCAGTAACCATTATGATAATTTCTTACCCTATTTTAAAATTCTTCAACACTCTGCATATCATATATAATGTTCTGGCAAAAATAATATACTACTTGAGGAATATTAGTATTGGGCACCAAAGGGAGAAAATGGTTAGAGAGGCAGCCAACAATGCTTATGGTATAGTAATTCCATACATTTTGTACCTTGAAACTTCTCTAAAGAGACCATTCAAAGGACAAGGGGAGATAGGTTTGATGTTTTTGAAAAATGAGCTAACAGCAGCAAAGAAATGCTGGATATAAGAACCGACATTATTTCCAAGAAATAACTTGAGCCTGTTTTAACCTTCAAGTGACTCCCCTATCAGAGAATGGAAGATTTGGTGCAGGTTTTGCTGTATCTAACTGTGCATGTTGTATGGCAGCAGTGTACGCTCCACCTGCTGTGCTGGGCTACAAGACTCTCCGTAGGCTGCTGCTTATGTTGTCTGTGCACAGTTTTCCATTTGGTAAATCCCTTCCTGCTCATTGTTGTGTTTGAGGAGCTTCTAGGAGGAAAAAAAGAGTGATTGAAGGGAGCTCCTGCCCAGAAAAAAATTTATGCATCTGCTCCTAGCTGCCCCTTTGCTTTAGAGCCCTTTTGGTGGCAGGCCAGATGAGTTACTTCAGTAGAGACAGCCTGCCCCTAGCTGCAGCTTTCGTGTCTGCTTCTCTATCGTAGGACTATGGGAAGGGGGCCAGGTTTAATTATGTCAGAGGGGAGAAGTGAAAGGCAGCCAAGAACGGGCTGTCACCACCAGAATTATTCTTCTGACCACAAGCTGATCCCTGCCTCTGTGGATGAAGACAAATAAACTGACTAATCAATTATCCTGGCAAGCTGGATGTAGCTCTCAGCTCTCTCGGAGCACCCCACATTTATATCAGCAGAGCATCACTGTGCGCTTCAGAAATAATAGGACAGTTCCTCTGACTTAGAGACATGAGAAGGCCTTTGCCCACCCCCTGGTTTATTTGAACATCTCTCTAGTGTCGTCTCGACATCCTTTCCAAGTTGCATTTCTCACCCCATATCTCTTAGCCAATTTCTTTCTCCTTGTTCCTTTCTCCTTGCGCTGTTTTGCTCAATTTCAAAACTGTCAAAATTACTCATCTGAGACCTAACATTTCCTGCTCTGAGTTTCCAGACAGGTGCATGCTTTTACTTCCAATTACAGTATTGCAATGAGTATCACAGAGTTGTTTTATTGAAGTCTTATTAGATACCCTCAATCCTACATGGAAAACATCAAGTCCTAGAATCTAATTAAATGATTTACTCATGTGAAAAACTGACAATGCAACAGCCTGCTAATTCTTGTAATGTAACTAATGTACATAGAAATTGCGAGTAGCTACTTCATTATTTATGTAGGAAAGAGTAATTGTGGTTTATGTGAAGATTTTTTTACCCAGCATTCTCCTGAAAGTACAAGATTTAATATTAAAACTAATTTTTATTTGGTTGTAGTATAATAGTCTGCTTTTACTTAAATACAATTTTTCCTTGGTCTCGAAATTGATATACTTGACTTGAGGCTTGAGGTTATAGAAAATCCATTCAACCATAGTTGAAGAGCATACATCTTCCCCCTAGGAAAAGAAGTTCCTTTTCCTTTACAAATGACTCAGTATCAAAACTTTGAAGTGGTAACTTCACACGTAAATGGGGTTGACTGAGGGATTTGTCCCATATCAGATTCTGAAAAAAGCTGGTTGGATGATAGTAGTTTGAAGGCTGAAAATTACTTTTGGGCATGTTCAGGCATCCAGCAAGATATTTTGACAGATCCTAAAGCAGCTACTCAAACTTCTTACATCAACATTCATATTGTTGCTGCTAATCTTGACAGGCAAAGGGGCTGCTGTTCTCAGGCAAGAGATTTTTAAGAAGACAAGCTTAATGTGCTTGTTTCAGTGAAACTTAATAAATTTGCCAGAGTTAACAGTGTTGCCCAAATATCACCAAAGCGCTGCTGGGATACTGTGCCAGTGCTAAAAAATCCACAGAGGTCCAGCAGTAGCACCTGCAACTCCCTCATTAAGCTTATCTCAGTGAGGTGTGACCTGGGTGTCTCACCCGGCCCGTTAACTTCACTGAGTTGCAAACTGCACAGTCTGTTAGTCTTTCTTTTTTTTTTTAATGTGGAAATAAAACCAATCAATCCAATATTAAAATCATATACTAGAATATAATTAGCAGTGGCAAAATTAGGCTGTTTAATTAGCTGTGCAAATCATATATGTTAAGTAAGGTAGGGAGGACTGTATAGCATTTAAAGATGAGTGTATTCCATGTGTAAAGATGAGTTCCAGGGTAAAACCAATTTTTACTGGTGCTCCCAGATAGATATAGATAAAATTACCATAGTGGTCTGTATTCTGGGTGAATTTGTGAGATAGAAGTGTCCTGCATTTTTGTAGCCAATGAATTTTTACAAGAAGCAAGAGTAACAGGTACTACATGGCACAATTGCTAGTTTAATGCCACTGCAAGAACCGTTACTTACATCTAAGTTTATTCTAAATGTAACCAATCATTTTTAACTTTCTATTAAGGTAGGATTTAATGTAGATCTTGATTTTGCTCTGATTAACTAGCATATGCCAGCTATACAAGCTCTGTGTGAGGTTGTACACATTTGTATCTAAGTAGGAATGAGTGGGCAGAGGGTGTGCGGTTCCTGCCTGGAATAAATGAACCAGGGTCTTCACAGAGAGCTCCATCTGGCTACTAACATCCACCACCATGTAGCTGAGAAAAGACAGCTATCATATCTAATGGTATAGCTGAAACTTCACTGGGCAAGAACTGAAAAACCTAACACTCGGTCAGATTTCTGACAGAGCTTTATTATCACAGAGTACTGTGATATTATTATTACTTTATTATCACAGAGTACTGTGATAATAAAAAGTCACTGAGATGGTACAGGGTAGTTTCTTGCAAAATCTCAATTGATTTCAGAGCAGGGGTCATGACAGCTGAAAGATCCTGATGCCTCATGGTAGACATTCCCTAAAAGTTGTGAAGAAATGCATATATTTTAACTAGAACATATGAAATTGCATGATCTAATCATCCATTTGCTGGTGTATCTTTTGTCAGTAGCTCTGTGGCCTGACATGATATATTATCTTTGCCCATAGCAGAAACAGCATGCTCTTTAACATCTGTTGGGTTGTCATTTTCTTTGTTCCATCCTTGTTGCTTATTGTATTTAGTCTTCCTGTAAATATGCCTATCCTGACGCTTACTGTCAATTGAAAATTGCATATTGTTTCTGTATCAGTGAGCTTTTACTTAGCCTAAAGGCCTTTCCTTTGACCTTTACTGTACTGAATTGTTTGAATTGCACCAATTAATATGCAGCATTTCTTAAATCCTCTGTTCCCAAGAAGGATGTTTCCTTCCTCTCTGCTGCTGTAAAGGAATCGCAGCTGCCATGGAAAGCAGTGGTAAAGTGTGCTTTGCTCCTGTTCTTTACAGCTAATATTACAGAGGAGATTAAAGAGTAGGAAGACTTTCAGGGCAGCTCTTCCTCTCTGGAAGTAAACGTATGGATATCTGGACATTTCTGGAGAGCTGTAAGATCTTCACTGAGTGCAGAGGTGACAAAAAAATCTTCCCTCACTGGGAGGTGGAGGAAGGGGCTGTCAATTTGTTTAGCTCTTGTCCTTTCTAATGACATAGTCAACTCATAAAATGGCTTCTCTGGCATGAGTTTGAACGCTTGCGCTACATAGTTATTTGGGACATTTCCCAGTACTAAAACTGTACCAACCACTGAGGATTTGGTGGGTGCTAATTACTAATTCTGTATTGAAAAATAAGGCTACAGGAGGTGGTAGCTTTTCTTTCTCCTCCTGTTTG